TCGTTTTTTATTCACAGATAATCAATTTTTCATCGCGCACTGAATGCCGGAATTTCTGCGCACTTTATTTTAATTAACTTTGCACAACGCGCCCCCTGTAATTCATTCAGTGCGCGATGAAATCTATCTGACTGGGCCGCGGTGTGTGATATCACTCCCATGTTAAAACTCCATTCGATTTTGAATTATGCGCATGTCCCCTATCGCTTTCCGTACACCAGTACGGAAAGCGAAAGGGGATATACCGCAGAATTTAAAATTCAATGGAGTTTTAACATGGGAGTGATATCACACACCGCGGCCCAGTCAGATATATTTCTGCGCACTTTATTTATTTAATTAACTTTGCACAACGCGCCGCTTGTAATTCATTCAGTGCGCAATTAAAAATTGTTTATGAGTGATATCGCACACCGCGGCCCATTAAGATCGATTTCTGCGCACTTTATTTATTGACACACTCAAAATATCGCGCTGAAGCTTGTATATGCTGGCGCGATGTAAATATAGTTTTCTGTTAATAAATGCCCAACAAGAAAGGGTAGCACAACGAATTCATCATTGAAAATATATTATTTTGGGCCATTTCATATCTTTTAATTGATATTGTATAAAATATTTTCAATGTTTGAAAATTATAATCTTATAAATAACATTTTATGTAATAAAACTGTAACGAAATGGTAAATATGGAATATGATGCAATACAATGCAGTGCAATATGATGTTATACAATGCAGTGCAATATGATGCAATACAATGTGGTGCAATATGATGTAATACAATGCGGTGCAATATAATGCAATACAATGCAGAGCAATATGATGCAATACAATGTAGTGCAATATGATGCAATACAATGTAGTGTAATATGATGCAATACAAAGCAGTGTTATATGATGCAAAAAATGCAGTGCAATATGATACAATACAATGTAGTGCAATATAATACAATAAAATGCAGTGCAATACGATACAATACAATACAGTGCAATATAATGCAATACAATGCAGTGCAATGCAATACAATGCAAAACAATGCCGTGCAGTGCAATACAATGTAGTTCATTTCAATACAATGCAGTGCAATACAATGTGGTACAGTGCAATACAATGCAGTGCAATACAATACAGTGCAATATAATACAATGCAGTGCATTGCAATGCAGTGCAATACAATATGGTGCAGTGCAATATATTGCTGTGCAATACAAAACAATGCAGTGTAATACAATACAGTGCAACACAATGTAGTACAGTGCAATACAATGCAGTGCAATACAATACATCGCAGTTCAATACAGTGCAATACAATGTAGTGCAATGCAGTGCAATAAAATGCAATACAGTTACAATGTAGTTCATTTCAATACAATGCAGTGCAATACAATGTGGTACAGTGCAATACAATGCAGTACAATACAATACATCGCAGTTCAATACAGTGCAGTGCAATACAATACAATGCAATACAATACATCGCAGTTCAGTGCAGTGCAATACAATACAGTGCAATACAATACATCGCAGTTCAATACAGTGCAATACAATGTAGTGCAATGCAGTGCAATAAAATACAATACAGTGCAATTCAATACAATGCAATACAATACAGTGCAATACAAAACAATACTGTGCAATAGAATACAGTACACTGCAGTACAATACAATGCAGTGCAATAAAATACAATGCAGTGTAATTAAATGCAGTGTAATTCAAGACAATGCAATACAATACTGTGCAATACAATACAGTGCAATATAATACAATGCAGTGCACTGCAATGCAATGCAATACAATATGGTGCAGTGCAATATATTGCAGTGCAATTCAAAACAATGCAGTGTAATACAATGCAGTGCAACACAATGTGGTACAATGCAATACATTATAATGCAGTGCAATACAATACAATGCAGCGCAATACAATGTAGTACACTGCAGTACAATACAATGCAGTGCAATAAAGTACAATGCAGTGCAATATAATATAATACAGTGCAATACAGTACAATATAATGCAATAGAATACAATGCAGTGCAATAGAATACAATGCAGTGCAATACAATAAAATGCAGTACAATACAATACAATGATGTGCTATACAATACAATACAATGCAATGAAATGCAATTCAATGCTATGAATGTACACCTTCTACAGTCAAATAAACACAGATAAAATTGTAATAGTATGTTAGTGTATGGAGTTTGAAGTGGGTGGGCGATACAATTACCAGTCTGCTGATTGATGACTTAATAACTTAGAAAAGATCTCCTAGCTTTTAACAGGTGGCACTTATGTCTACCTTATGTTCTTGAACAATCTCGTCTAAGAATACAGACCCGTATCCTGGATTAACCTGGGGGAGTGGTTTTACCAAGGGGGAGATTTGGCCAAGAGGGGGAGCTTTTTGACAGTTATGGCAAAAAAATCATGCGAAAAGTGCTACTAAGAATGGTGAAAAACTGCATGATTTTGAACGAATATTTGGCAGGGGGAGGGGGGTGAAGCCCCCTGGCTACGGCCATGGAATACATATAGGAACTTTCCTTCTCCCAGAAGAAATGGTATACAGGTATTACATCAATCATTCTGGTATTTTGTATACGAAGGTCTGTAGTTACTTTATTGAAAGATGGCAGTGTACACTGTGTACTACCATTTTGAGGTCAGTTTGACTTTATAATTCTGCGCACTATAATCTGTAATTCTCATAGATATCCTCTCTAGAGGCATCACTGTGATCCAAAATTACAATTTCGCAGGTCAAGTCTGCAGTCTTTCGAAAAAAGATGAATTCGTTGTGCTACCGTTTCTTGTTGGGCATTTATCAACAGAAAACTATAATTACATCGCGCCAGCATATACAAGCTTCAGCGCGATATTTTGAGTGTGTTAATAAATAAAGTGCGCAGCTCGATCTTACTGGGCCGCGGTGTGCGATATCACTCATAAACAATTTTTAATTGCGCACTGAATGAATTACAGGGGGCGCGTTGTGCAAAGTGAATGAAATAAATAAAGTGCGCAGAAATATATCTGACTGGGCCGCGGTGTGTGCTATCACTCCCATGTTAAAACTCCATTGAATTTTAAATTCTGCGGTATATCCCCTTTCGCTTTCCGTACAGTGTGCGATGAAATCTATCTGACTGGGCCGCGGTGTGTGATATCACTCCCATGTTAAATCTCCATTCGATTTTGAATTATGCGCATGTCCCCTATCGCTTTCCGTACACCAGCATATACTAGCTTTAGCGCGATATTTTGAGTGTGTTAATATTCTGGCTAAATAAATAAAGTGCGCAGAAATCGATCTGACGGGGCCGCGGTGTGCGATATCACTCATAACCAATTTTTAATCGCGCACTGAATGAATTACAGGGGGCGCGTTGTGCAAAGTGAATTAAATAAATAAAGTGCGCAGAAATCTATCTGACTGGGCCGCGGTGTGTGATATCACTCCCATGTTAAAACTCCATTGAATTATAAATTCTGCGGTATATCCCCTTTCGCTTGCCGTAGTTTCGTGCACATATAAGGCATTTTAAAATAATCGGTTCTCTTTAATTCACGATCATGTTTGTCTTTATATAACGGTTCCAAGAGCTTGTTTCCATTTAATATTGTTTGAATTGATTTTACCGTTATACTAGAGATTGTCACCTGTTTTTCACCAAGTTTCAAATACACGAGTTCTTCCTGTATGCTGGGTTCAAAGGTCGAATTTAAATCTGATTTCAATAGAGATTTCCAATCATTTGGTATAGCCGATATGATTGAAAAATACTCAAGAAAGTTGATATTAATATTATACTTAGTCTTAAACTCATTGTACTGTAAAAACCCCCCATTCTCGTTAAGAAGGTCATTAATATAAAGGACTCCCTTTTCCATGAGATGTTGGTACATCACCTCCTTATCATTAATTAGAATTGATTTGTTATTCCAAATTATTTCACCTTTAACCCCTGAACTGGTTCTAGGCGGCAACATACAATGTGCATGGAATGTGTCTGTAAGCCTCGGTAACTAAGTAACATCTAAAATTCAAAATATAAAAATCGCGCATCCCCAACTTCTCCCAAAAATGGCGACGCACTTGTTCTAATGACAATTCACATTTCCCACTTGTATATATTTATTGTTATAGTCGGAGCGAGATGATGTGAGAACGTACAGCAGTATTTGCGCCTAACTGATTCTTTTGGAAACTGGAAAAAGAAGAAAACTTCATATTCTTTATATTTGATTTTTATAGATGAAAATGAAAAATGAGATAAACCATCATATAATAAACAGATTTGTCAATTTATGATTTGATCTAAACCATGTACATTTTAATAAATGTACTTACTTGGCGTTATGTATTCAATAGTTTAGATACACGTTCTATTTACATGTAATCAAAAAAATGTGTGAGTCATGCATCACGCCAAGGCGTTTGCAAATCGAGTCGGAAGTTATGATCATGATATCCGAAAAACGTTTATTGTTTTCTAGTACAGGCTTTTGTACATTTCAAACGATGCAGATGACAGAGAACCAATTATATGATCGTGAGTTTTATTAGAGCACATGATGCTCCATATTAATAACGGTTATGATTGAGTTGGAGATGATATTCGAATTCGTACAACTTCAAAAGGTTATCCAGAATCTGAGAATGCAAATGCGTGCCAAAGCTACATGTATGGAGAAATTAGTTAACTTTCAAACGTATATGAAATAATCTTATTTAGACCCCACACGAAGCAATATATTGTTTTGTCCAATTCAGAAGTAGAAGGCAGACATGTACATGATTTATTTAAAAAGGTTACAATTAAATGATTATTATGATATCTTTGGCCCATCTTAATTCAATCTTTCTTTGATTTTTCTTTGATGAAGCATTCCAATATTATTAAATGATAAGATCAAGAAATTGAAGAACACAAATCAGAAAAAATATATAATCAATTAATCAATTGATTGGTGATTATTAAGACTTACCTGATGATGTTGCCTCGTCGAAGTGATCTAATCCACACAAACAGGCCTTTATATACACCTATTGTATATTGCTCTTGCTTAAAATGTCCGATTAATTGATTGTGTTTACGGTATTTCAGACATTTCTCTCAAAGATCTGCACTGATTACTGACTTTCTGTTATTTATATATACCTAAAAGCGTATTACATGATTTGGATACTTCTAATTAAATGGATTAATTAATTCTCAATGTTCTATCCAGTTTCACTTGATGGAATTACATGGCCGTTATGGACTTTTTATTCATGAGCTCTAACGTCAATTAGAAACACTGGCAATTCAAATAATGAACGTGTCGTTATAAATAAAATGTATAATAAAAACGAAAGGTCGGAATGTTTTTGTTCCCTGGACAGAAATAGGGTGTAATCATGAACAGAAATAGGGTGTAATCAAATGTATTAAAGGAGGAATTAAGAAATGAATTAATTCCAAGATGTGTTCTAGGTTATTTCAGAGCCAAACAAAAGACAACAAATGATGTTTTTTTATTATTCAAATTTAATCCGCAAAACGAATCCCGTGATTTTTCCATGCGCTAAAACTGTAAAAAACATGGGCATATTTGACAAATGAAAACTTCTTTTTGTTGCATCACATGACGTCATGTAATGATGCAACTTCATCTTTGATTTAGATGATTATGAGGGATGATAACAAATATTTTGAACAGTGGTTCTTAAATTTGAGATATCTCAATCTTGAGAGGACAGGGAGACTAAATTAATTCCCCATAGCATTGAAAGTCACCTTGATTGACATGGTACATGATTATGTATCACAATTGAAAGTCACCTTGATTGACATGGTACATGATTATGTATTACAATTGAAAGTCACCTTGATTGACATGGTACATGATTATGTATCACAATTGAAAGTCACCTTGATTGACATGCTATTTGATTATGTATCACAATTGAAAGTCACCTTGATTGACATGGTACATGATTATGTATCACGATTGAAAGTCACCTTGATTGACATGCTACATGATTATGTATCACAATTGAAACAATCAATTTGTTTATGTTTTCTATTTTCTGTCATTGACACAGCTGTGCGACATTCGCCTTTGGAATGGTTATTGCTCGTTTTATGATAGAAACAATGCTAATTACAAACTAATATATACATTTTAAATGCAAAAAATGTTTACATTGATGGAAATATATCAGACGACTATCAAACAAACCTGTCTATTTGATATCATCCTTTGCATAAAATTGTAACCTCTGTCATACCCATTACAATATATATGTATATAAAAATGCGAATTAATGTGAATTATTTTGGGGTTTATTAACAATTTGAATTGTTGACTTCATATACGTTTATTTATATTTTTTTTTTGTAATTGGCTCACTGCTATGTTCATTTTTGACATGATTACGCCAGTGATGACTTTACAGGGAGGCCCACGTTTGCTTATATAGATAAATTATTTGTCCCAGAATGAAATAGAATGGTAGCAATAGTTTAAATATGAAACAGTAGATGGGATAGGCAAGGCCGAGCACATATAGCATCCAAACAAGTCTTTAACTGTATAAACTTCAAACAATAGGCCACCTATGATGATCTAAATGAGAAAGAAGTAGAATAAGAGCAAATTGATATTGTATTTTAACGAGGGGTTTTTATATTCTCTGAATCATACATTACTTCATGGAAACATTGAAAAGTATGTTAGATGACATTGGCCTGACTCATATCATTACACAGTGTCAGAAAGATAATTTGATGACATGAATTACTTGTGATCCAAGCTTAACATGACGTAAAATTGTAGGGGTAATTAGCAAAGGACAACTCTAAATGATCGGTTGTCTCAAAAACGTCACCCCGGGAACGTCACACTCTTTGACAAGTATTTGCTCAGCAATTACAGGCTCAAATTTATTGAAAATTATTATAAAGTAGCCTTAGGGTATCATTAGCAAGGTGTACAAATACAATAGAAATCGGTTACATATTATGTGAAAAATGACAAATTCGAAAATGCATGTAAAAAAATCCAATATCAATGGAACTGCCACTTACATGTATTTCAGTCTGAAAGAAGCTGTTTCCAAGCAGAAATACTTTTGTATATTTTCCATCGATATCACCCCCCCCCCCATTACATAATTATACTGTCCTTTAATGCATGTTGAATGTAGTGCATTTTTGTTCATAAGTATATTTACAGTAACATGACACAGGTGTAAACTGGTGTAACATCCCAGTCACATTTGTCGCACGGCGGCCGCAAGTCGACCGCAGATCAATTAAATCGATGAAATTCTGCGGCGAGCGTAGAAAAACTACTCTCGCCTTGCGGCCTCCGTACGGCGTATGCAGCTTTTTACAGGCCGCAGGGAAGGCGTAGAAATTATAACTCGGAGTTATAATAGTTGTTAATTTCTGAAGTCCCCGTAGAAATCAACTGGTTCAACAAGATTGAATCATTATTTGTCAATGTTTCACGATCACTTTTCATTTGATATTACATCCTAGCACTATGAATAACATTTATAAATTGTCCCGATGTAAATAAAATGAAAAACGTATTATTTATCAACAGAAATTTAAAATTTACCGTGCGACTGCCGTGGGAAATGTGACTGCAAAAGTATAAGAGCGCAGAAATTCCACGGCGAGCGTAGAAATGTTACTGGCCGCAGGAATGATAGACCGCAAGGTCGCCGTAGGAAATGTGACTGGGGTGTAACACTACACATCATCGTGCACTATGCCAGTGATAGTTATACAGCTGGTTTTCTATGATACATACTTTAAATATGCTCGTTTCGTAAAATATTTGAAGCAAAAACATGTATGACTGTCAAGTATGGTTAGCGTTTCAGTCAAACGCGAGTTTTATCATTCAATATACTCTAGGTAGTATTCATAAGTATAGAAATAAATTGGCATCATTCCATTTCCTTAGTATTTCATTCACTATTTCACTCACTGTCCACTCATATAAATACCTTTGCATTTGTGAACCACGTTTATCTGTTGTGCGTTTTCCTGTGAAGTCAAGTGTCAACATGTTCGTGTAGTGTCGATGTCATCTACCTTGTCATAACACGTGGCGTGACTTTGTACAATATGTGGTCAACATTTGTGAAACATACTGAGGTATTTATTTAGTATATATTCATTACAATATTTCCTTTATGTTTATTTATTGTAATTGCTAAATTGTACAAGGATAAATTATATTGTACAAGGATAAGTTATATTGTTCAAGATAATTATAATTTTCTTGTATTCGGTGTTCACTTATATGGCATATTATTCTTAGCATCCATTGGTTATCTGTACCAGTTTAGGGAACTAGTTGAAAATATTATATTTCATATATTCTAGAAACGTGTGTCTTAGATAGGTTTATTATCCATTTTTTATAGTTTTGGTGTAGTATGTAGCGGTCAACGAGAAATGTATCTGCGTATGTGCACAGACTGTCTCCTTGTATTGTCTCGTGCGTCTATAAACTGTGTCTGAGTTGTATCAGTGTAATATTGGACTAGTATAAGATGTCTTCCAACATGTCCAGCCTGTATCCTCACGTGGTGAACGTGATATTAGACTCTCGTTAATTCACGTGCAATGCATTATCTACTATAACGTCTGTCCACGTACAGCATAAAACCAAGTGACTATTATCACATTCATAGACTCTTATCCAGTAACGTCGATGTGAGTATAAACCGACTCGAGTAAGAAGTCTACCAACACGTTCAGCCAGCATCTTCACGTGGTGAACGTGATATTAGACTCTCGATAGTTCACGTGTATTGTATCATCTACCATAACGTCCGTCTACGTACAGCATAAGCCCAGTAACCTTCCACGTATCCAGTGTGCACGTTTTGCAGCATCAGCCGTCCAGTTTTATGTGTAGTATTAGTATACCTTGTATATTTTTGTAATTAATGATTTGTGATTATAAATACAATATAGTAATTTGTTTAATCAAATCAGACACTTAAGTTCATTTATTAGTTTTATTGAACCCGACAACTTGACCTAAAAACATGTATGACATACATCATTTTCTTCAGAAAACAAATGCATCGAAATCAAAATTGCCAGCATAGTTTTCAATAGACATGAGTATAATGATTCCCGTTGCCACCAACGTGAAATTGCAAATCTCAAGTTCTAAACACAGATCTATGGCTGGCCACCTGGACCAATGTATCGTCATACTTTTAAAGCCGTAAAAACGATTTTATGCTTTTTTACCTGTGGCTAAAAGTAAGGACGTATGAAATAGTTTTTGGCGCCGTTCAAAATGAATTTTTGACGGCGTTAAAAGTTATTTTTAACGGCGTATAAAATCGTTTTTGACGGCGTCAAAAGTAACTTTTAACGGCGTATAAAATCGTTTTTGACGGCGTTAAAAGTATTTATTACGGCGTTAAAAGTAGATTTTACAAATTATATTTTTATAAATAAATAAATAAATAAATATATGCATTACTGTATTGATTCATTGGCTTTGCGTTCACGGTTGCGTTGTGAAAAATGCGAGCTTAAACTCTCAAATATTCAGAATACGTTAAAGCCCCCGATAAATCGGGGTACGTATACCGCCGTGTTTACATTAGGGGATTAGAAGAGTTTATTTTTACTTAGGTATGCAAGCAATATCAATATTAGGCCTTCATGCATGTACTCGTGTGTACAATCAGCATGCCCTTCAATATTATCAGCCAGGCTATTCAAGTACAACATAATGTACACTATTTATGTGTGTATACGAACTACATGGGAATACAATTCCCTGGGAAACAAAACACAAATACTTTTTATGTGTTCAAAATGAGCCATTTGTTTGATGCATACACTAATACCTTCATATATAAACATCTACAAAGTATATCTAATAGTCATTTTCAATTCCAATGGTGAAACTTGCCTGGTAACGATTATACGGGAAATCAAGACGGGGCGATAGTTGTACACCTTCCTGGCTTACCTCTGAAGCCTGTACCCTCTAATCTCTTTATATAGGTTAGCGAGAGCGCTGCGCCTGCGCAGTTTTAAACTTTGGCGCACACTTTAAAGACTAGAGATACACGCTGATCGCTGTAAATATGTTCAGAATATCAGCCTTTATTTCTTGAAAGGAGTTCATTAATAAGTAAATCTTAAGATTCTTGAATATGCAGTATATAATCATGCTCATGTCTAGCTTCAGATACGTGTGTTTCCATTTCTTGTCCAGTTTGATTCCTGTCGAAAATGTTGTGTTTCCATTACGGGTTATCTCTCCAGGGACATGTCACATTGGGTCCTGCAAATCAAGGATTGAATATCAGCTCGAACATATCACCTGAACGGATGACAAAATAGAATTCCGGTCCCCCCTTCCCAACACAAAATCCTGGATCCACCCTGGATAACTTATAAATAATGGCGTTGAAATGGAGGATACTAAATTGTTGTTGTCGGACCAAAATCAGGGTAAATGAAACAATAGATGGCATGAGGGTCCTTCATGGGAAAATAACATGGGATAGCTATGTAGTTTTCAATGTTACCGCATTTTAACGCCGTTCTGCATATCCTGATAACAACTTGGATGAAAAAACTAGGCCTATCTTAATGAAAAATGTTTTATTTATGATCAGATTATAATTATGGTCAAACAAACGACTTAACCCTTTTAACACCATACCTGGCGGTCTTTTAATGGCACTGTCATTTTGATTTCTTAGTATTACTAAATATTTTCAACTCAAATGGAACTTACCAGTGTAGCAAATCTCCTTTGTGAGATGAAGACCAACGTATTCAAGGTCTGTGAAAGGTCCATCCTTTCCAGGTTTCTGCATGTTAACAATGGTACAATCCTTTGGTTCAGTCGCAATGTATTTCCACTCTCTTTCATAACCATCACTTCTACCTTTGTAATTTGGAAGTCCTTAAAAACAAGATACTACATTGTGTATATATTTATGGTTTTAAATATGGGTCAACCAGCGACACAAACACACAGTGGGGTATGCCTTGTTTTCTGCAAATGATGTACGCTTCATGAACATACCCAAATAGTTAGTGAATCCATTGCCTTTGAAAGTTACAAGAGTTGCATAACAATGTATTCACCAATTATAAACTATTTTGAAAGGAACATTGGCTTTAATTTTAATGACATCCTTCTCCAAAGGACTTCATTTATGCTTAAATTTATGCTTAAATATATACTTGTAAAATACCCTTGCAGCAAGGATGTTTTAATGAATATATAGAGTAATTTCTCACCGACTAAATAAATTTCGCCACCATAATCTTTTATTCGTTTCGCTGCATCTATTGTTTTGTTTCCGTTGTATGCTTGTTTGTCACCTTTCATCCAAGTTCTTCCATCGGTTGCAATGACAACAATCTTTCTCACATAGTTCAGTGTCGTCCGACCGTATGTTTGTAATTCTTCCAAAGCAGCATCTGTTAATATTTGGAGTGTTTTACTATGAGGTTGATGCAGTTTAGCATTGTATTTTATGGACATGTTTACGTCAAGAAGGCACCATTCATTAATACTAATCTTACCGATTCGACGATTGAATTCAAGCAACAATGATATGCTACGTGCATGTATTCATTTTCATTATCATACGTAGAAATTGTTCAGTCAAGTCCTATTTTTGAACGTTAGGATTTTAGGTCCACCCTTTTCAAATACCCGAACTTGTTTCTACTCAATGCTGGGAAAATATGTTGAAACATTTACATTGTGTTATGGATAAACTATGAGTACTGGGTTTTACGAGGAATAATAGCCAAGGTAATTGACGTATGGTTTATCTAACTTAAACCTCACATTGACTCTTATGAAAGGTAGACGACCCAAGATTCCATTTTAGGAAAATTTGATTTCTTTTTTATTTATTGCCTATGAGGTAAGGGTGTTGAGAAGTGAGTGTACTTAGTTCAGCTTTAGTGCACTGCATGAAATAGGCCAGATACAGTTTACAATTTGTTTTTTGTGTTTACCATTCAACTATTGAATCCGTGAATAGGGTGTTTTTTATTTCAGCTTTATTGCGTTGCATGAGGCAGACAATCGTCTTTTGTGCCACACTGGTTTTGGATAGCTTGCCAAGTGTCAATTCTTTAAAAACAATAGAAAAAGAATGCACTCTTCTGTGTTACAGATTAATATTCGTTTAAATAAACTACAATTCGTTCTATTGTGTTGCTACCTAATGGCCGATTGAGTATTTTGTTCAAAATTGAATACAATATTGAACAAAACACTTAATGGCATGTATACATTGGTACATGTAGAGGCTATTGTGTATATCCAGCGGATAAAGTCGAAATAGTTGGGAAAATGAGACACTTTTTGACAAGTATTTTCTCGGCAACTGATGAACCAAATTCACTGAATATTTGCACTAAGTAGCCCAAGAGTATCATTACCAAGTTGTAAAAATATATAAAAATCGAGTAAATATTCTGTGAGTACTAAGACTTTCAAAATAGCATGTCAAAAAGTTCCATACCGGTGTAAAAGGGTAGGAGGTCCTATCAATTTATGGTCCTACTCTCTATTGATTTATTTGGTGACCTAAATACAACTCTTTCCTTCATTATCTTATACACAATCAGGGCCAGTAAGGGCCTTTAAAAGGGGGACCATAATCCCTGGGGGACCATAATTTCTTTGACACCGGACGAGCTCTGCTATGAGACCTCCATAGTGGGTGATAGCATCTGTCAATCAATAAAAATATCTTTTCTAAGTGTTATCTAATTAATTTGTTTCATTCTTCCCAATAAATCCATGCATTCCCAAAATTCATTGGAGATGATATTGTTAGAATAAATACGGAAACGTATCTTTGCTTTGAAATGGATTAATTACTTAGTAACTTTTACATCGATATTGGTTATTTTGACATTCTGTCTTTAATTCAAAAATACACACATAATATTTAATCAATCTTTTACATCATAGCAATAGCAGAAGATAGCCTTAAGTGCTTTAAGTTTTCAAAGAATTTAGCTCATCTATTGCTGAGAAATTACTTGTCAAATTGCTTCCCATTTCTTGGTACAAATGCTATGAAGTTCTCATTGCGTTGCTCTGGTATAGTATAAGATCTTTTGATATGCTTTCCGAGTTAAATTTCTTAGTACTCACATTACATTTGCATGATCTTTTTCTTATTTTTCTACCTTTTTAATGATGCTCTTGGGCTACTTTGTACGAATTTTAAGTGAATTTGATACATCAGTTACGGAGAAAATACTTGTCAAAAGTTTCTCATTTTTTGGGACACCCGATATGACAAGGATCGCCAAACTCGCTTTAGACTATATTCTTTTGACACCCAAGCATTAAATTGACATACCCAATGCTTCATGGGTATGCGTGTATTTGGTTGTTTTCCTAGGAATCTTGCTTATCACATTTATGAGACCAGCCTTTCCATAATCTCCCAAGTGGGCCCAAACAGTAACAGAACCTCCATATGTTATCAAAGCAATCTATAGAAATAGAAATACATATTTTATGTTTAATGGGCAAAACAATCACTGCCAATACTTCACAGGACAAGTTAAAACAACTGCAATTTAAAATTCTGCACCGAATATCAATACAGTTATGTTTTACTGCCAATGATCCTTTTTCAATATAGCTTTGAAATCTCGTTAAAGTCTCGTTTTAATGAGATTTTAGGAGATCTACATTTTTAACCATTAAAGACTAAAATTTCTTCCATTTGATGGCATATTTGAATTCTCTGTGTAATTTTCTATCAAAACAACTTTGATTCGCACTGGTATTTACCTTTATTCAAATTGTAATGATTTTTTTAGTTGTCTAAAAAAAGGTCAGACTAAATCCCCATTGACACAATGCTGAAAAAAATTAATTTACTCTAACAGGGATAACAATTGTAATGTAAAATCACAATCCACATGTCAATAAGATCATATAGTTACATTCCAATGGTGTTTTAAGTTGATACAAATGGAATTGTTTCTTAAATCAAGAAATTAAGTGACTCTGGCAATACATTTACATGTATTCTAGCCCTACCGTAGCCCTACCAACACCCATGATGCCATCTATTTTCCATTTATATGGAAAAGGTCAATTAACCGACACAAATTCATGATTTTTAAGCAAAACATGAATCAACGAATAAGCTATACATTCAGTATAACTACATTTTATTTAGCCCTATATACGTGTACCTGTTTCCAAATCTAAAAAAGGTAACACACACTTTCATTATGATAATTAAGGCTCAGCTGGGAAGTAACATTTTGGTAAAAAATTGCTACACCTGCACATGTTATTTTCTGGTACAAAATTGAGTATGAAGGCGTGTGTGTAGTTCCTTGCTTTTTTCAAGAAAGTATCATTACACTGTTTACTTTTAGAATATCTGGAAACAGGTCAATGGTAGCTCCTCTATTGTCTGGAAACTTTGGAAGAAAATTTGGAAAAATAGAAAGTGTAAAATATCAGAATTTCCGGGAGTTCCCATTGAACTCTTACCAGATATTCTAAATTGAGACAATGTAATGATACTTTCTTGAAAAAAGCAAGGAAATTAACACATGCCTTCATACTTTTTTTGTACCAGAAAATAACATGTGCAGGTATGGCAATTTTTACCAAAATGTTATTTTCCAGCTTAGCCTTAATTATCATAAAGGAAGTGTGTGTTACCTTTATCCATAAGAAATGGTATGGTATGTTACATGATGCAGTTATTATTGATTTTGAAGCATTTTCGACATTGGAAAAATTCTATTTTGTATTTTGTATGAATCTTCATGAAAACACAAGCACGATCTCAAAGGTCTCTCACTTGTTCTTAGTAACCTTGAATATTTTCTAATGTATTGTAAAACATCGCCGTGACCATATCATGCTCATCTGGTTAAATACTCAGATAGTAATCAAGCGTTGAATCTTGTAAAATCATTATTAATGGGAACATGTATACGAGGGTATACACAGCAACTACCCTCCGCGCAGAGTCTAACTGTATAGACGGAGCTCTCTTTTAAGAAGCGAAGTCGAACGAATGCAAAGGGTAAACAGCAACAACAGCAAAGGGTAAACAGTATAAATTAATCTATATTGAAATAAACTAAGTATGTCAAAATATATAAGCCTATATAACACCCTATGCAGACAGAGCCTGTGGGAAATATTGGGTGCGGCGCAAATGAGCGGAGGGTGCGGAGCTAACGGTCATTTTTGAATTTAAAATTGGGATATTTCTGAAACTAAGCCGTTTTGGGACTTCAAATATACCAAGATATGTGTATTTGACACCAAATATCAATAAAATTGTGAAAATAGTAGTGCAATTCATTTTATAGCGACGCAGTATGCCTTAAACATTTTCCAGACCTATATATTTTGAGACTATCCTTTTAATACTGCGTCCCCAGCATTCATAAAAAATGGTGTTCAAGATACACTACCCATGCAAATTATTTTTGCATCTTGGAAGCCAGGCAGTATCTGTGTGATTTTATAAAAATTCGGAAATGTTCTTCAGATATGAGCCCCTCTAAATATTGGGTGCGGAGCTACGTTTATGGAGCTGCTCCGCACCCAATATTTAGAGGGGGCTCATATCTGAAAAAAGTTCCGTATTTTTATAAAATCACACAGATACTGCCTGGCTTCCAAAATGCAAAAATAATTTGTATAGATAGTGCACCTTGAACACCATTTTTTATGAATGCTGGGGACTCAGTATTAAAAGGATAATTTCAAAATATATAGGTCTGGGAAAGGTTTAAGGCACACTGCGTCCCTATAGAATGAATTGCGCTACTATTTTCACAATTGTATTGATATTTGGTGTCAAATACACATATCTTGGTATATTTGAAGTCCCAAAACGGCTTAGTTTCAGAAATATCCCAAATTTAAATTAAAAAATAACCGTTAGCTCCGCACCCTCCGCTCATTTGCTCCGCACCCAATATTTCCCACAGGCTCTGTCTGCATAGGGTGTATAAGGTTAAACTACTTGCATACCTGTAAACCACCGGTCCTGTCAATAAAACCAGGCTCAAGGATTTTTTCCTGGATTTTAACAAAATCGTCGAAAAATTCGAGTAACGTATGGATATCCTTCTTTTTGATGCTGTTGGATTGGTCAATAATAAATACAACATCAGCTGTACAGCACACAGGGTCCTCTGAAAATAGTATACAACGAATTCAATTTCAATACTTATCTCTTTGAATATAATACAGGTATATGCTAACAATAGCAATGATTGCAGCATTGGACAATGTAGCTTCTAAATTAACCAGTAAAATTATGAATACCACAGCAGTTTCATCATTAAACGGTGATGCACTGTTACCGTACGGTCTCCCTACGGGGGGCGTATTTTTCCAGATACATGGGCAAATGGAAGGTGACTCTGCGGCAAACGTATGTTTACTGTACGGCCTGTTGGACACTACAGCTGCAGCCTGCACACACTTTGCACGTATATATATACAGAATATCACATCATTTTGAGTGATATCATTTTTATCGCCGAGTTGATATCAAATATCAACACGAGTGAGCGAAGCGAATGAGTGTTGATATTTGATATCTACGAGGCGATAAAATGATATCACGAGAAATTATGTGATATTAGGTTTATCCCATGATTACGATCACCTTGTGATATAGTTCGTCATAAATACAATTTTAAATCGTTATTTAGCAGCCTTCTAATCAAATTATATACACAATCGTAATTTAATACACCAATGAAACTTAAAGAGAATAAATTAACGGACCTATTTTCTCAAAAGAGAATAAATTATCTGACCTAATTTCCAACAATATTGTGGCGCGAAATGCAAATGTGATATCAAACGGATATGCGTGAGATAAACGATATCACACGCATATGAGTTTGATAAACGATTTTCTGGAAAATATCACACGAATTTCAATGATATCAGAAATATCAATAGCTGTTATTGTACAGATAACACATTAATCGTGGGATAAAAACGTTAATGCTATATTTACATCATATATTGTGAGTGCAATTTATAAATGATTTTTGAGCAGTCATATTTGCTACGGCGATCGTGTGGATTAATGAATATACGACCTAATCCTCACTCGCCATTCATATACCATTATTTATGAAGCGACAAAAACACCTAGAATGATGAGAAAGAAGTTTAATTTAAGCCTTACTGGAGAGGTTAAGCTTTGCATATATAATCGAAACTGAACCTGTACGTATCACTCGACCATATACAAATTCATGTAGCCTTCTCATATAAATAGCCGTTCAAATCCAGTGTTTGTTTAGACTACACCATAGCGTGTAATGATTCTATAGTATGTCATTGATGCGGTTTTATAGCTGGTTTTCTAATACATATTTTAAACGAGCTCGTTTCGTAAGATTTTTGGCGCTAAATCATGCATGACATACATCATCGTGTTCAGCAAGAATTCAACTGTGCATCGAAATCAAAACTGACAGCATAGTGTTCAATAGACACAGGTAAAATGGTTCCCGTTGACCCAACGTCAAATTTCAAATCTCCCGTTCTAAACCCGAAACTCTGAAGCTGAAAGAGTATCTGAAGTAGACTAAGCGCATAAAACTATGAGCGCTCGATACATTCCTTTGTTAATTTTTGTACTTTGCGTTCACGGTTACGTTGTGAAAAACATCGTTAGCTTAACCTCTCCAGTGTTATGTATGCACGCGCTACAAACTGAACCAGAAAAAAAACCTCACGCAGATTGCCCAAATTCATTCAAATTACACATTCCAAGCTTGCATCGGTAAACCCGATTTCTTGTTTTCAATGACAATTTGGTAACTTTTATTCGGGTAGGGAACTTATTCTATTTTTTCCAACATACAGCCGCCGTACGACAAATGAGCCTGGGGTGTTAAAACCAAGAGTATCTTCCTCGTTTCCCTCTTGTTGTACCTATTAATTCCACTCCGCATGGTAAGAAACCAATGTCAACATCTTGATCCCCGTAAACTCCAAGGCCGTTTACATTTAGAACATCCTGGAACTTGCTTCCTGCATCCATGTCTAATGCCTACAATTGAAGAGAATATTTCAGGTTCATGCATATTCATCATTTGACGCATTAACGTATTCAAGCATACCTTTTAATATTGTATAAATGTTGCCTCACGTGCCTCTTTTGCTCAATTAACGTTAATGTTTGTTCTACTTATTTTAAACCACCTTGTATGAAATATATGGTTTATAAATACCCCCCATTCGTCATCTCCCGTCACGTCATCGCCAGGCTGTGTTGTTATAATCTTTACAACCTGCAGAAGAGAAAAATCACCATATCGGATTATCGTAATCTAATGACGGTCTTTCTAGGGCTCTGATTGGTGCATTAGTGGCGAGAATATATTCTCTATTTTTACAATATCAATATAACATTCTGATGTCACCGTATCACATCATTTTCTATAGATAAAACATTTAAAACACTATATCAAATACTGGTACCAATGTCAAATATGACTATATGATAGGTTACTGGAGGCCGAGAAAAATATCGTGTTGCCCCAGGTATATAAAACCCATTTTCAATTCCTGACGAAGAAATAAGCGCTTAATGTCAATTTTGCACATGTTACATTATACATCTAGAGATCCTCGATAAATAATATGCTCTTGCTCCATCTTTGTAGACTACAATGTAAAAATGTAGAAATGGTGTCTCCTGCACATTATAACATAACATAACAACATAATATACCATACCATAATATGGAATATGATTTATTTATGTCACCATTAACTTTTAAAAATAATCGTTGAAATCGTATATACGTACGTAATGGTATGTATGACTTAAAAAGCTATATGCGGTAACAGACGAATAAATAATACCTGCATGTTGATTTGAGTAGTTGCTTTTATTATCAACGCCTTGTTGATTGTACTTTGCTTTGCAGCGCCCATATCGCCCTTTCTATTAAAGGATATCCCATCGGTAAATATAATAATATTCTTTAGAAAATGTTTTTCCACGTCTGCATCGTTTTCTTCTAGAACTTGAAATCTATCTTGGCACATCTGTAAAGCTTTGTGTGTCTGAGCTTTGCAATCATCACACGTGCTTCCAGTCTCATTCATTTCTGTATCAACCGCACCGTCATATTTAACCCATCCTCCTATAGATCTAGCCTCATCACTATATGTAACAATCGTGAATCTTGACTGATTACTCAATTTAGCCATAATCGTATTGATATCCCTCTGAATGCTGACCATGACTGCTCCTGCATTTTCCATACACGATGTCTGGATAATGAAACAGATGTCTGCGCAATCGTCTAAAATACAACAACAAACAACCCATGATTCCCCTGACACACATCGGTTTCACATACTTCATCTGAGCCTGATATTCGACGCTGATATTCCTTTCAAAAGTTATTTTCTGACTAAACATTTGCTTGACTATAAGTCACCTCCAGTTGCAATTGGTATTCCAAACTAACGTGACCTTTGGTCTATTATAATCTAAAAATTGTGAAAGTAATTTTTGTCTTGTGTGCAAATAGCAATCTTGACTCTGCTATGTAGATTAACATTGTTGCGGTGTTAAGCAATCTGTCTTACTAATATCTAGCTATATGTGAAATAGATATAGAGATTATCCTATATGAGGTTAAGGATATTGGGATTATCCCGAGGCCAATATAACATATCTGCCCGAGGGCCGAAGGTTTTCAGTCAGGGGGGTGAGATCGTGGCATAAGCAAGCCAAAATAAGATTTTTACGAATTTTACAAAAATTGATGCAACTTCCTTCAAAATTAAGCTAGAAACTTCAAATAAAAAGCATTTTAAAGCTATTTTCTTCTTCTATCTCATCATTTTATTTGTATCTCATACGTGCCATGTATGTATTATCATACACTCATCTTACTCGAGTCTCTAGCCAATACTTGGCTAGAGGGGATTGCATCTGGAATACTGTGAACTCTATTTGAAAAAAGCATGCCGGGGTGTCATAAATTTATTGAATATTTTAAAAATCGCCAGATAAATAAATCATTAACCAAACCGGACCCAGCTCGGTTCCTTGATGAGATATTACATGATTTCATCAGGATTTCGTCTAAAATTAAAACAAAATGGCTCCAAGAAAAATGGCGATGTTCGAAAACTGGACGAAATGTCGTTAACGTCTGACATTAGTAACTGGCTGTAAATTCTAAGTTAGCGATCCAGAAGATGTGAACTAATACACTGATCACTTTATGTGTGTTTTGGAATTTTTGGTGAGGTAATAAGACCAAAACTCGCAATTCAAATTGTGATGTGGAAAAATGGCGGACATATGATTTCAAATTTTATGATTACGACATGACCAGTTGTTCATGCAGAAATATATCTGTACTAGAAGGCCACGATACAGTGGCCTTAGAAGAAGGTAACACTCATCCAATGTCTTACCTGGTGGCGGATTGCTGACTAGGCATTGGCTTTCGAAGAAGCCTTCTGGAATCGGGATGTCGAAGCCACTTCTTCCCATTACGACATCTGCGAGGGAATCTTCTTTCTTATTACTAAACAACTTCTCTAAAAGATGCTTAGGGAGTTTGGAATAGAGGGCTTTTATCTTATCTACATCCACTCCCTCGGTATTTGGTATAATCAAAGCTGTGGCAAGCAGAATCAGATGAAACATCATGATGAGCGTGATCTAAAAAGGATACGTTCCAGTAGTGGACTATATCACTCTACTATACCTAACCCCTAGAAATGCATAAGATACTCTGTTTGTCTAATTGCACCGTTTAGTATATTTTTGAAAGTACCTTCATTAACTTTCAACCGATAAACCATTAAAGGGTGACGCATATCGTTTAGCAAATCGAACACTCGTTTCTGGTGTTGCTCACCGTTTAGTATAAAAGGCCCGATCCCGGAATAATACTCAAGGGTTCACAGGTTCGAGGTCGTTGTGTCAATACCTCTAACTGTTATATAGCATAAGTATATTATAGATCGTCACACATTTATAAAAGGGTGATTTTTATTTTGACAAATCAATTCCAGATTTATGGGTGAAGTTTCAGGATCTTCTATTTGTGTATAATAAGGAAAAATTGGCATCTAAATTTTCCCATAACGTAATAGCACACAGCTTGGCATATGAAATATCCTACAAATGAAACAAAGCAAGACAAACCGGTTTCTAATACAAGGATTTATATTGGCTGTTGTACATGTATTCTTTGAACGCAATCACTCTTTGGATAACGTTTTCAAAATCATTATAAAGTAAAACGGATAACTTTATCTCAAAGACAATTTCAATACACTGGATTTTACAGAACTCCCCTTATTTCTTAAAAATGGACTGATCCAGTTGATTCGCCTGGAGCCGCCATGTTGTTTTTATACGGGATGCTAATCGGAACCCTTTAATAAGGAAACGACAAATAAAAACAAATAACATAATTATTACTAATAAGCCAAATGGGTTGCTCATGAACACCAAATGCAAGGTATAGTAGAGTGTATATGCACTGTATCAACCCTCTCCATCTGGCGAGCCTGGTACGAGTGCCAAAAAGGGAGAGATAAAACACTACCCTACCTCTGTCGCGCATACGAAAGATTTTTGACTTTCGCACAGCGGTCAAGCCAAGTAACTTAGTCAACATTCGATAATCGTATGTTCATCAGTATTTACTAAGAATGGTGCCACAATTGAAGTAAACCTCTGGTTAATTATTTTCAATAAACCTATTAGCAAACGTGTAAATGATAATTTTGATGTTCTGTTACATATTGGTGAAGCAATCTTTGGGATATGACCTAAATTTCTGATTTTCCACTGTGTCCCTGTATACCCCTACTTCAAAAGATGTATGTTATTTGTCATTTTTCATTATGAACCAACCATAAATGTATTTTTTCTTGTTTAAATACAGAATGAACTTTCTGTTTTTAAATATTGCAAGATGGTACTGCATTTATTTGTTCATGATAAGGAGCAAACAAATGCGTGTCAATTTACACTGTAATATCCTACATACTTATATTTCAAGGGTAGTATTGAAGAATAATCAAGAAATCCATGTTTTCAAATGGATTCATCCTTGTCAAAGAAGGTAAATGAGGATATGCGGTTTGAAAAACTAACAACATGTTTCAAGTACTTACAATTCTTGGTTAAAACAAATAATTTGAAAGTTGTGATTTCGAATGTAATATCCTACTCAATGAAATTTGTTGATATTTGTGAATTTTTTCTTTCGGAATGCACATTGCTGGATAACAGAACCTTGCCTTGTTCGAGATGCACGAAAAGTGTGAATATTAATACTTGACGTCGTTCGGATATTTGGATGTGATTGACGTTTTCGTTAATCTCCTACCACTGTAACTTCCAACTTAATTTTTGAAAGCCAAATGTGATAGTCACGAATTGATATTTTAGTCACACGTTTATGCGTACATCATGTGTGTACATTAACTGTCGAATACATGGCGACTTACATTTTTATAAATATCCACAGTTAACTCAAATCATCAATTCTCGAAACGGTTTATCATATAACCTGGTGAGTTAAATGTTTCATTTTAATTTATAATTATGGTATAAGATTTGAGTATGATATAAGTCGAGGCTTAAACGAAGCAATAAAATTACGTGAAACCTTTTGTGAAAATTCGAACGATTTTTCAAGAATCCTCTTTCAAAGTGTTACAAAAGTGCTCCCCGGGAGTAGAAATTTCGTCTTGTGTAATCAAAATTATAGCGGCTGGTTTGAATTTTTGTTTGAGTTTATTGCTTACATCTATAAATTTAAAACCATATCGCCTAATTAGGAGCTACGTGCAGATTTTGGCGATCTATCATTATAAAAGGCTAAATGGTGTGCAAAAACAGGAGTTGACACGCTTTCATTTGGAAATGAAATTTCCTACATAATCGTCGGCTCATGTTTAAAAGTCATGAAAACAAGGTCGAACACAAAACATTGACCCAATTACTGTCTATTTAGCATGGGATCACTGAGGGAAATATTATTAATGACTTAAATCGTTTACAATTAAGTTGTATTCCAAGACACTTATCAATTTAGAAATGCAAAATGTTCAATTTTGTTTTTCAATTACGAAAAATGGCACCTGTAGAAAACAGCGTTTTCAAAATTATTTAAAACGGAGATATTTACTTATGTAACATTCATTGGCATGTGTCAGGGAGTAAATAAGAAGAATATGCATTTGATTCTGTGTCTTGTTCCCAAAGGAGTTTGTTAAGGAGCGGTATATCTTACTGTACTTTTATAATCCCGAACTCAAACATTTCGAATACTTATTTCGAGAACGCTTTGTTGAGAATGGATTCGAGATGTACTCAAAATTAATACGTAAAAATGTGTATTACCATCTTAATAACCACCTCACAAATTATTTTGGAAATCAAAGATGTACGATTTTTGAGATTTTTATTTTCGAATGTTGACTTACTTACTTGACTTGACTGACAGGCTTCTTTTGAGTAAGACTAGTACTGCAACTCGAACAGCTTAGAACTTGTCGAGTAAGAGGTGAGTCAATATTGTTATTCACTCAATTTCAATGGTGAATAAGTGTTCCAAACTAATATATCAGTACTGAAACAGGTTTTAGGTTTGCATATACATTGTATTATATATCATTTCTATTCTCTATTCTTCTTTAGTTCCTTTAAAAAAATCTTGGCTCTTTTCGTCTTGTTTTATCTTTTCTATCAGGAGAGTTCGAACTCCCATGACGGAGGATTTTAACTACCATATATTTTACTTTATTACATAATCTAGTCATATGTAATAACTTGATGGAGCATCACCATGACAACTGTTTAAGTAGTTTGCGTGTGTTATTGATATTTCACACACTGTTCATTATGTGAATACTCTGTTCGGATTGGCTGGAATCGGACACACCTTGCCTAGCTATGTGCGAATCCCGTATAACGTATAACTTATAAAGCGTTTCATTACGTCATCATTTATTGCGCAACTTTATACGTCAATAAGTGTGATATTTTACGTTTAGACAACTATTTGTAATTCCACTTTTTTTATCGAAATCAAGATTACCAGCCTAGTATATACCAATAGACACGAGTATAATGATTCCCGTTGAGACCAACGTGAAATTTGGAATTTCGCGTTCTAAACACGAAACTGAAGCTGGACGGGTATCCGAAGTAGACTAATTAGCTCTTATTTTGTATGCGCGCTATACATTGCTATATTGATTCTTGTACTTTCCGTTCACGGATACATTTCTAGCTTAAACTCTCCACTCTGAAGCTGAACGGGTATCTGAACTAGACTAACTAGCGCTTGTTTTGTATGCGCGCTATACAGTGCTATATTGATTCATGTACTTTCCGTTCACGGTTATGTTGTGAAAAACATTGCTAGCTTAAACTCTCCAATATCAAATTTATGGACGTATAGATCTGCGCAATAAGCGATGACGTAATCAAACGCTTCATAAGTAACTTATGTATTGTAAATAATAAACATGCTATAAGTGAGTTGCAAAATCTCTCTAATAACTCATTATTCACAAATAAACAATATTTGTGGAACATGCGCAGATAAAGAATAAGCAAAGTCTAGATCTAAATTAATTCGATTTAATTTTGTTGTATTTTTTTCTTCTAGCAAGTCCTCCATCTTAGCTTTTACAACACCAAATTATAGTATTCGTATTCCCGCAAAAGTTCCCAGAAATTATATCTTAATAACAAAACGCATAGTTGTGCCTGGCGTACATGGTGACATTGGTTTGAAAAAATTCCAAGGATTTAAACACAAGATTCTACATTGTGAACGGATATAGTTTTCCTTACTAAAATGGCTTGAAAATGTGACAAAGTAAAAAACAAACATTTCAAATAACATTAAAAATGAATTTGCATATATAGAAGAACTACTCACAATAAGATAGTAAATTCAACTAACCTGTTGTATGTGGTGTTGCCCCAGTGTGAGTGCTGTGTGCTGCAAAAAGGGACTTATATACACCCATTTTACTCTTGTACTTAATGTTATTCCGCCCATGCATTTAATCCTCTTATTTCTTGATGCAACGTGAATAATTTGTCAAATGTTTGGTAATTATTATTCTTATGAAATTCTAAGTGTTAACTAGTATTGCACGTGTCTGTTTACCGTATTCCTTGCCAATTTCACTCTTTTCGGGCCTAGTTTGAATTGTTAATTGCAGCCATGGTATTTTGTACACGTGAAATAGTAATGTGTTTTAAAACAATAATGGCTATAGCTTCAATACTCAAAGGATATCATGATTTGTATCCATGAAAGGAGATATTTTCATAATAATAGCGGGCTTTGTATTCTAATTTTTTAATATCTTTAGTTTATGTATTTGACATTAAGTTGCATGTGCCTACGAACATGCAGCGAAAATGTCCACGTATGATCTAGCGTGACGACGGTCACGATTTCGATGAGCATGATGAACAAAATGTACACCAAGCTGATAATCATGATTTCAAAGAAAAAGAGAGATAAGAATGAGCCTTCTAGCATTGCAATGAGACCAAAATGACGGTTATGATTTAAAAGACAAAATAGTGAAAGCAACAATTATGAAACTTCTAACATTGCAATGATACCAAGATGACGGTTATGATTCCAAACGCTAAAGAGTGTAATCCACAAGGATGAGCCTTTGAATATTGCAATGAAACTAGGATGACTGTCATGATATCAAACACAGAGTGTAATCAACATGAATGAACCTTCCAACCTTGCGATGGTACCAAGATGACGGTTGTGATTTCAAACACAGAGTAAAATCAACAAGTATGAACCTTCTTACATTGCAATGGTACCAAGATGACGGTTGTGATTTCAAACACAGAGTGGAATCAACAAGTATGAACCTTCAAACACAGAGTAAAATCAACAAGTACGAACCTTCTAACCTTGCAATGATACAAAGATGACGGTTATGATTTCAAAAACAGAGTGAAATCAACAAGTACGAACCTTGTAACCTTGCAATGATACAAAGATGACGGTTATGATTCCAAACGCAAAATAGTGTAATTAACAAGAATAGGGCATACGGACATCACAACGAACCCAAAATGACGATAATTATTTCAAAACAAGATAGTGTAAGTCTACGAATATTGCAATGATAACAAAATGAGGATCATGATTTCAAACACAAGTGATTGTAATCAACGAAAACAAGCCTACGGACATTGCTTTGATACCAAGATAATTGTAATAATTGTAATACACAAGAGAGTGCATGCTACCAACAAGGATAAATCTACGAACATTGCAATGCATGATTCCAAGGTGATGTTCATTATTTTAAACCCAAGATAGTGTTATCCGCAAGGATAAGCCATCCTAGCATTGTAATGATCAACAAGTATGAACTCCCTAGCTTTGCAATCTGAGACCAAGATGACGGTTATGATTTAAAACACAGAGTGAAATCGACAAGTATGAACCTTCCAACCTTGCAATGATTCCAATCTGACGGTTGTGATTTCAAAAACAGAGTAAAATCAACAAGTATGAACCTTCCAACCTTGCAATGATACCAAGATGACGGTTGTGATTTCAAACACAGAGTAAAATCAACAAGTATGAACCTTCTAATCTTGCAATGATACCAAGATGGCGGTTGTGATTTCAAACACAGAGTGAAACCAGCAAGTGTGAACCTTCTAACATTGCAATGATACCAAGTTGACGGTTATGATTTCAAACACAGAGTGAAATCAACAAGTACGAACCTTCTAACTTTGCAATGCTATCAAGATGACGGTTATGATATCAAACACAGAGTGTAATCAACATGAATGTACCTTCCAACCTTTCAATTTTCGAAATCGCTGTTCCCTCTTCAAAAGAGGAGACGCGAAAATCTTTCCATATAAGGTCAAAATATTTCCCATGATGCAGTTCGCGGAGGAACAAATTTATACTTCCTTGTTTTCCCTCATAGGTTTAACATGGGGATTTTCACACCTATTTTTCAAACGATATATTCGTTCATATCCCCGTACGAGGGTACAGAAAAAATTATTAGAAACGATTGATCTCTTATTAATCTTAATATAACAGCTATTTTTTCATTGTATTGATTCATAGCGTGGTGAAAACGATGATTGAAAAGTGAGAAAATATTCCGGAAGAGAAGGTCACATGATCAGTTGACTAGTCGCCATATTGGAAAAAACAATTCCATTCGACTTTCAATACTTTCATGCCAATCTTACCGCACTACAAACTGCAACATCGATGCAACAACTGAATATAAGTATTCATCTTCAAATTACATCATAGAGTTACGTTGAAAACCAACAAATAACTGAGCAGTAGACCAAAGAAGAAGCGTCGCTATTATCTAGGTCACTCTGTTCAGTGGTTCGAAAGCAAAGCTATAGTACTCGTTTCCGAATTTTGTTGTTAATTGTACAATCTTTTATTGATTAAAACTCGGTATACTGACTATTAAAGCAATGACAAAGAAGAATACTTCCGATGTTGTCATTGTTTTATTTAGCGTGCGGGTGTAAAAACAAATTGCGTAATTAGTTTGATTTAGAACTTTCGGGTCACGCAAATAGCTACGCGGAATGCATAGTAAGAAAATATTGACCAATCAAATTTTGTCCTTTTTGATTGCTTTTTCAGGACATATTTGCGAACGTTCTGATTCAAAGAGCGAATCGCGAAAGGGAGAATGATACCAAGATGACGGTTGTGACTTCAAACACAAAAGAGTGTAATCAACATGAATGTACCTTCCAACCTTGCAATGATACCAAGATGACGGTTGTGATTTCAAACACAGAGTGAAATCAACAAGTACAAACCTTGTTGTATTGCAATGATACCAAGATGACGGTTATGATTTCAAACACAGAGTGAAATCAACAAGTACGAAACTTCTAACCTTGCAATGATACCAAGATGACGGTTGTGATTTCAAACAGAGAGTGAAATCAACAAGTACGAACCTTCTAACATTGCAATGATATCAAGATGACGGATGTGATTTCAAACACAGAGTGTAATCAATAAGTACGAACCTTCTAACCTTGCAATGATATCAAGATGACGGTTGTGATTTCAAACACAGAGTGGAATCAACAAGTACGAACCTTCTAAACTTGCAATAATACCAAGATGACGGTTATGATTTCAAACACAGAGTGAAATCAACAAGTATGAACCTTCTAACCTTGCGATAATACCAAGATGGCGGTTATGATTTCAAACACAGAGTGAAATCAACAAGTATGAACCTTGTAGTATTGCAATGATACCAAACACAGAGTGAGATCAACAAGTATGAACCTTCTAACCTTGCTATGATACCAAGATGACTGTTGTGATTTCAAACACAGAGTGAAATCAACAAGTATGAACCTTCTAACCTTGCTGTGATACCAAGATGACGGTTGTGATTTCAAACACAGAGTAAAATCAACAAGTATGAACATTCTAACCTTGCTATGATACCAAGATGACGGTTGTGATTTCAAACACAGAGTGAAATCAACAAGCATGAACCTTCTAACATTGCAATGATACCAAGATGACGGTTGTGATTTCAAACACAGAGTAAAATCAACAAGTACGAACCTTCTAGCATTGCAATAATACCAAGAGTGTAATCAACAAGAACGAGTCTTATAATATTGCGCGTGATGATAACGAAATGACGGTTATGATTTCCAATACACAATCCATACGAACACGCCTTGTGACATTGCAATGATACAAAAATGACATTTATGATTTTAATAACAGAATATCACTAAAATATACAATTAACCCCAGACCGTTAACGGCCTATTGGACACTAGGGACATTACCTAAACAGGTGATGTTCCCTAATCTTCAGCATTTGGCCACAGACTTTTGCCAAATATATAAAAATCTTATCATCTGACATTAATGTATTGAATTTATCATTGTCAGAAAATTTCCTTCCTTTCCGATCCTGCATGGCAAGATGAGATGTGAGATAATCTCAGTACACAGATCCTGCTTGAACGTTCTGTGGGTTCTTAATTTGTTGCCCTGGCCTTCTGGACGCCTACCGTCATTCCAGATGGTGTCATGTCAAGGCATTCCCTTTAGATCTGCAGCTATCCAAGCAATAGAGAGTCAAACACAAGAGAGTGCCCTTAAAGGGAAAATAAGCCTTCTAACATTGCAACGATACCCCATCCTCCACTTTCTTTCCACTCTCTGTATCCATTGATACAGAGGGGCTGCTCTCATTTTTGAGATCTATATAACAAGACTACTCTTACTATGCGTGTCTTCTGGACGGCTTCTCTTAAAGAAAGACCTCTCGAACAATCAGAAAGATTTTTGCTTCTACGAGAGGATGATCCTTTCTCAAGATGGTCTTATTAGCTAAGAAGATCACTTTCACACTTGGAGAACTTCTCCATTGATATTAGGTACAAATGGAAGAGGTGTTCTGCTACTACAGGATCATGGATTCATTTCAGGTTGGCTTTTCGGCTGATCATTTATCAATATGGCCAACCCCAAAAGGACATAACGCATTGAAAGTAACTTTCTCTCCAAAAGCTAGGTAGAGCTCTTGGTACATCTTTCAATCCCTATAATATGTATTCGTATCATATTCCAGGTAGCTTTATTGCTGGATATCATCATTCGATAAAATTCTTTAGAGTCTGGCTGACGTGTAACATTTAAAAAATATAAAAACATTGTTTTGTTATACATCTATTGTACGATTGTAATGTTAACTATTGTAATTGCAATTTTATTTTATTACTAGTCATACTTAATTGAATATTATCCATCGTGTGTAATTATTCTTTATTGTTATACTCAATATTCATAGTTATTCATGACATTTGAAATTTTGGAACATGCATGTTTAAACGTTTGCTACGCAAGTAATACATGTAAGCTACACATACATATTGTGTTCGTAGCAGTATATGGAGAAAATATCGTTACTATACTCATAACAGTCTCAGGCCACTAATGCAGGAACAAATGATGAAGCTAAACCACTCAATTTTGTGCATCTGTGCATCATGTCGTCTTCATCTCGATTTTGATAAATACAAGTGACCACAAGTGGACTTTTATTATATTTGGGGGAGGGTTGGTTGGCGTCATCCTTCAATTCTGATGTCAATAAATTAGAGACCATAACATCGACACATTCAGTGTGTACGCCCATTGTTCTTAAGGCAGAAACAAAACCCACAAAACAGACACGTATTCTCATATAATTTCAATGTTTATTTCTATGCTCTATTCATATCTTAAGGTTAGCAGAACAAAACGAGAAATCTTGTTTGTCAACATATTTCTAACGCACACCTTATCAAGCAACTGACTCCATGTTAATTTCATCTTTTATTGTTCTACCAAACGTGTCTTCCTAATCATTATTGACATTGTGGTCATAGTCAAAGTAACAGAACTCGGCATTTGCTGAAAAACACAGCCAAAATGACATTTTTGGAATTGAATAAAATTGTTATAAAGATTTACCTATTTCCTGTAAGTCGAAATAACCGAGATACTACAAGTAAAGTTGATGCATATCAAATTATATTCAATCATATCATATGATTTTACAAAATTCATGTTCAGATGAGGTAATCTTAAAGAAATCTGACAATCTAAGTCACATTACGCTAAGCCATGATTGATTATGTTATATCCTTAGTGAAACAAAGGACAAATTAAAATACTTACACTGCAGACAAATCTTCTTGGTGAGATATTTTCCAACTGAATTGAGATCTTCAAACGTTCCCTCTCTCATGTCAACAAATGTACAATTCTTCGGAGGTGAAGACATTGCCATCCATTCTCCCACATCCGGACGCTGCTTGTAGTTTGGTAAACCTTGAAAATAAATAAATTAGTTCGCTTGGTTTATATTATTTGCAGGGTTGTTGTACCATTTGCTGATCATGAAGACAGATCTACGTCTTTTAGATACAATTCTTTATGCAATCCGAATTTACAACTGTAAGAACAACCTATATTATCGGGAACCGTTTATGTATTTTTTGTTAATTTTATTATCTTATTTTTTTAGATAAGGATTGAAATGTGAAACAACTAATGTTTACCGACAACAAAGACCTCTCCTTTGAGATCGTCTTTGATCTTTTGCGCAGCATCAATTGTATCAGGCCCTCCATAGACTTTATTATGGCCAACTTTCCATGTTCGACCATCAGTGGCTAGAACTACAATCTTCCTCACGTGTGGTGCTATACGTTGATTTGGTCCAGTGAGTTGTGCATATGCCTCCCTAATAAAACAATATTTGAATCATGATTTTGGGGATTTGTCCATTGTAATTGGGTTTGCATTGCCGTCAATGTGGACAAAGTAATGTACAAATTATCATAGTTAGACACCGGTGAAATTGTTTTATTTCAGACTAATTCTCGGTTTCACATAAATGCTTAAACAAGACGCTATAATTTTCAAAGAAGGAAAATCATCTTCACCACGGTGTCAACTATCTATTACCTTAATGCAAGATGGGTTGATGTGTAGTGACAGTTAACAGTGTCTCTGTTGATAGCATCTATGGTCAACATGAGTTCCTCTCTTCCTTGCTCGCCAAGATTGGCCACGATCTTTACTGTCCCACAATATGTCAAAACAGCGATCTAAAAGATAACACTTTGACAACATTCACCAAGAATCCATCAATATTCAATACACAACAAATGACAGTATCTCAAATTACCTCAGGATGAAACATGTTATGACACAAACACAATGCCCCCAAATCTTCAAGGCTAGGTGAAAAATCCCGACTTTAAGGCAGAATCAGATCTGGGGTGACCTTTTTTAGAAAATAGACATGACAAGGAATGACATGACTTAAATATATTTTTAATTTCAGATTAGAAAATTAGAAAACGTTCAGGTTTGAATCTTTATTCTAACATTATTTACAAAATATAAAGTGCTAACTGGGTTAAAGAATATTGATTAATGATCAATTGAAACAAATCATAGATACACTGTATTTTAGCAATCCCATATTCAATGACTCGTAGGTATTACTTAATACATATGTATACCTGGAGACCTTCATGTTTATCGAGGGCGTTCGGGTCAATGATTTTGAGTTGCACTTCAATGAAGCCATGGATGAAATCCAGAAGTAAAGCGACATCCTTTTTTGTGATGCTATCCGAAGTGTCAAGTACAAAAACAACATCTGCTGTACAACACGGTGCTGTGAAGTACAAACATCAGACTTATAGAACTTAAACAAATAATATATTATCGTGAGGGAAAAGAATATTGTCCCTAGAGGATATTGTCTAAGCTTGTAATGGTACCTACCCGTCCTTAACTGTATGTATAAACGGGTCATTTTAATTTTGTGAATGAAAATGTGTTGAAGTAAATTTTGTCTTGGGAATCATAATTCATCATTCAATACATCTATATGGTGACAAAGTTCGGCTAATTAGACATATATTGGGCTTGGAAAGTAGCAAAACTAAAAGAATAACATTTTCTGCGTTTTTTTTACTTCACACAAATACTACTTTTACACCTATCAAAGAAGGGTAGCATGGGAAAATAAGTCGATATTTCCAACCAAACTTATTCGGTAGAGAAAAATATTTGAAAGTCATTACTCATTTGGTTTTTAATCGATCATTCCACCTTCAGTATTCTTACAATATCAATTAAATACCCATAAAGAATTGAGATAACTGATCAAATTTATAGAAGCTATTGAAGATTTAACATGCAAAAATGTCCTTTATAGGTATTGAAAAGAGACTTCTTACTCATGAGTTCGGGATCATCTATTTCTACCTCTCCAACAATTCGGATGTCAACGTCTTGATCGTCTTTTTCCCCGAGATCGTCTATATTTACTGTGTCTTTCATTTCCCCAGAGATGTGATTCATTTGAGGCCATTCATAATCAACTTCTATGGTTGCACCGGGATCCTCTTTTATTCTTACAACTTGGAGTGATATCTTATTTTCATTATGGATTTGAATTAACTTCTGATTCGTGAGGTCTCTGGTGATATTTTGATTTTGATACTTTGAATCAAAGGACACACCGTCGGTAAAGAGAACAATTGTTTTTGGAACATCTCTCCCAGCAATTTTCTTATCATCGAACATCTCCTTGCATTGGTCAATAGCGAGATCCGTTCTTGCTCGACAGTCTTCACATAACTTAGAAATAAATATGACATGAATCGTTGAAAAAATTCAGCGATGATTTTCTTTCGACATCATTCAAAGTGTAACTTCAAATTATGAAAAAAGTAAAGATGCACAAATCTTCATAGAAAATCTTTCTTTCTTATTTTGGGACTTTTAAGGGCAATTCTATTTCTATTCACATGCCTGACATAACACTGGTCAGGATCAAGCGATGGTAACGACCGTAACCTTCGCATCTAAGATGGCGGACGATAATTGTCGATTTTTAATAGTTAAGAATATTTTTCATAGTTTCCATCGAATTAAACAATTTTATAGTTTACGTTATGCTTTGAAATTTGAAGCAAACTAAAAATAAAGAAATCGACACTTCATCCGCCATGTTTGATACGAAGGTTGATACGGCCGTTAACATCGCTCGATACTGACCAGTGGCATAACTTTGCTTTTTGAAAATACATTTTTGGATTTCCAATAGGACATGCGGTATGATTCTAATTGTTGTGTTCAAGGGCTGCCATTGCTTTTATGATAATTGTTGACGGTTCGGCGGTCGGCGTCTGTAAAAATGACAGTTGGTGACATTTTGCACGTCAACGCCTTGTTAATATTTGCTTCATTGTGATTTAATAAGTAATTTGTTAAATCTGGTTTATATCACAGAGAACGGTGTCTGTCCTACCAGCCCAATTAAAAGTCTGTTGACAGATCCAATTAGGCCGGGACAATAACTTATCTTTATGCTATACCACCTGTCCTGTAGTAGTTTGGTTTACACAGTTTCAGCTTCGCATCTTGAGGAAGTCGGACGCTTATATTGGAGAGGTTAAAGCTTTGCATATATAATCGAAACTGAACCTGTACGTATCACTCGACCATATACAAATTCATGTAGCCTTCTCATATAAATAGCCGTTCAAATCCAGTGTTTGTTTAGACTACACCATAGCGTGTAATGATTCTATAGTATGTCATTGATGCGGTTTTATAGCTGGTTTTCTAATACATATTTTAAACGAGCTCGTTCGTAAGATTTTTGGCGCTAAATCATGCATGCCATACATCATCGTGTTCAGCAAGAATTCAACTGTACATCGAAATCAAAATTGACAGCATAGTGTTCAATAGACACGAGTAAAATGGTTCCCGTTGACCCAACGTCAAATTTCAAATCTCCCGTTCTAAACCCGAAACTCTGAAGCTGAAAGAGTATCTGAAGTAGACTAAGCGCGCATAAAACTATGAGCGCTCGATACATTCCTTTGTTAATTTTTGTACTTTGCGTTCACGGTTACGTTGTGAAAAACATCGTTAGCTTAACCTCTCCATTATATTCTCTAAACACTTACATCTATACTACAACAGTATTCGTTAACTATATTATTTGGATTATCTAATCACTTCGTTTTTACACACGGCTGTAATATACATGTAATCGCGAATCGAGGAGTTGGGACCCAAAATTCCTCAAAGAACAAACGAATTAAACATATAAATGAGCGCGTGAACGCAAAAATACTAGAAGATGTTGCATATACAGGAGCCGAACATGATAACGACCAGAGTAGAGAATCTGCCAAAAATCGATTGACACATGCTTTTATAGACTATGACTGGGGGCTTACAGACAGTCTTGCCAGAAGGGTATTTTCTTAACGACCGTATTTAACGATCTCTGTTGTGGGGGTTTCACAGGAGTTACGTCTACGTTATTGTCATTCAAATTCTCTTCCTCAAGTTGAAAGCACTATTATTGAACTAACGAACGAAGGAGCCTGATGTAAACGTAAGCTGCAATCTCGTGATTGACGCTAGGCACTCCAACTAGAATCATCTCAGGTAATGTTATTCTCGATTGTTGCCATTAGCATTTTTTCCTGTTCTGCATTTCGCTTAGCGTACTACATTGAAACAAGATTCTTTAAAGGATAGCTTAATAAAATCTTGTCGGGAAACATGGGCTCTTCATAACATTGCAATTAGGCTCGTGCTCAATTTGATTTGCAGAATATAATTCAAAAACAGCTACGATACAAGACTTTTCCAACGTCTGACGCACATCTAAATATTTTCTTTTTAATCCATATGAACAAGGCAATCCATAATCGAACAGTAGAGAAGATCTCTTTATTTGCACATGAGAAATGTTCTTCGTCTTCTTGACAATTCCATGGCGGGGGTATTACTGTCATTTCTTCTCTTTTAGGGTTTGGAAATGGGTTGTATCGTGATGCCTCTCGGTCTCTAACTGACTTGAACTGATAAATGCATACTTTAACGTCCATGTTTCTACTACATCTGTATATTCTGAGTATAGGTTTTAGCATTTTGTATTTCTCTGCACGTTTACGAGAAGTCTCTGTTAAAATGTAGGTGGAGTAATCATAATTAAATCTCGTCGGGACATCTGGGTCGTTCCAGAACTCCAAGTAGGATTTCCGCCCCTAGTTTTCAGAGCACAATTATATAAAGCTGTTTTTAAGAAACGGGACCAATCAATTAGCCTTGAAATGGTTTTATTTATTTATTTTTATTTGCATTGGCCATACTTTAGAAACATCAGTGATATTTTAAATGAACACGGCCTTGGCGATGTTACATTCAGGAATGACCTTGCACGGTATTAGATCATTCTGATACTTATCACTTTTTCTGTCTTCGACTAGAAATATGATTCTAGTGTGAAGCTAATGGAAGGCCATGAATTCCCATGTTGGTATTAGATTCTTTTCTGGTTACATTCTCCCAACATCACAAGTTCTTTCCTTGCTGAAGCCCCACGAAAGTTTTACTCATAACATTTGTATAGTTATTTATTTGCATACATATTTATTTACTTGCAGTATTTATTTTGTTTTTATAATATTTATATTCATTCCAATTGTGCAACTGTTTTTAAAAAGTTAAGTTCGGCAATGCTAACTGGGATGAATAGAGTATCTATTATGGTATTGTTCACCAAATAGTACTCATATTTAGATATAATCATCTTTTACCACGAGGGAGGCCTTTACAGGTGCGCCCAGTCGATTCCTCTTCCCAGAGGACCCAAAACGGCATAATTTGGTCTATAGACCTCATGGAATTAACATTTAGTAGCAGGCATATGTTGAGATGTCAACTTGAGGTCAACTCATTTTTTGGATACATTTTGGTCTTACACTACGGCTAGCTACATCCTTTATTCAAAGGATTGCATTTATACTAATTCAGCCATTCAAGTAGTTTCATGTCAGAGGTAATAAAGATAGCATTATCTGACTGGAGAGAACGCAAATCCACGTAGTGCAGTTGTCCACTCATCATTATGTCTCATTACTATTATCGATGTCGCTATTATCACTTTATTTCTATAGTATTCTATTTTGTGAAACATTTAATTGTTTTCAATCTTGATAGAAATTCTCGGGATGATGCTTTATTATTGAAACTTAAATCTTATAAGTACTATGTTTTTTTTTTTTTTTTTTTTTTTTTTTTAAAGCTGTTAACAATGCAATATATATTTATACTATATGCCCTGGCAGCAAGGATGATTTAGCGTTTTCATAACAGCCACCATTGGGTTGCTAAGATCATCATAATCCCAATCCATCTACGTTTGTTTAGTTTCTATTTAAAATGACGGAATATAAGAATGAGAGTAGTCTTTTAAGAATGAATACTGCTTTTGGTTATTTATGTTGTAGATTTCCAAGAGATGAGCTGGAAAAGCAAGGTTCAAGAAGGGTTCAAATGATCAACGGTTTCAAGTCCAACCTTCACCAGATCATGATCTCGGCTTACACGCATATGACATCGACACTGATGTCACATTAACCCTATCGACCAGGTCTTTGACACAACTTGGAAGTCAAATAGTATTTGCCAGTATAAACCACCCTGGACGAAGTGATAAGGTCAAAACAAGTGGCTCCGATTTAGGAAAATACGATCTTCCTAAAAATTAATAATTTTAGTACCCCAATTTTTGTAAGGTTAAATTCTTGTGGACAAAGAGGAGAATCATATACAATTTTGTATTATGTTCAAGTGGTACATCTTAAACTACTCAGTTCGTGTGTTTTAAATTGAATGGAACGCGCATTAGTGGCTGGAGTGTAAATTAAAGTTGAGAATTATATCTCCCGCTAAAAATTACGATTTTATATTGTCAAAATATCTTTCATTGATGATCAATGATGCATATAAACGTTCATACACACCGAGATTGTATGTTTCTTTTCATATGTGCATTTACAGCATCGACAGTTATTTCAATTTGATGTGATGCCTATTGTTTTACTCCTGACGACGAACATTTGAGGAAAAGACGCGATTATTGATTTGGAAGCCTACACAGCTGAAAGTAAACAAGTGATTAATTAGACATCCATTCCACGTATTTTCCATATATTCTGTGGGAATCGGAGCCGCGTTTTTTCCAGAAAATAATTCTAATCTCGTCTCAGGGACGTAAATTACTACTTGTATTAGAAAAATAATAGTGATATGACATTCCCTGGTTCATAAACTATCATATCGCCAAATATCAATGGATTTGAAACAGAGTATCTACCATTTTTTCGAAAATAATCAAAAAAAAATATTGCGGTTATTTAAAAAAGTAAATTATTTCAATTCGTATTCATTTCGTTTCTTAGTATTAATCGTTACAATATTATATATAGAGAGGTGGATATGTCTTGGATCAAAATGCACCGAGTTTGAACATGTCATGTGGCCAATAAAGGGTATAATTTAAAGAAATAAACTCACCCCTGCTCTGCCATGTTTATTTTTAGGAAGATCGTATTTTCCTAAATCGGAGCCACTTGTTTTGACCTTATCACTTCGTCCAGGGTGATAAACACACATTGATAGCAGACATCTGAATAGAATACATCCCTTCGCAATTTTAGGCACATTTGGACTATATTAATCCCCACCGCTCTACTTCATGGGTCTACTCAGTGCAAGTTACAGCATAGTCGATTACCAGTTTAATTTCATCAATAAAAATTTCATAC